CAGCAGAAACTCTATAGGCCAGAAGGGAGTGGCATGGTATTTTTAAAGTGATGCAAGGGGAAAATTTAAAACCAAGAATACTCTATCCAGCAAGGCTCTTACTCAGACTTACTTGAGAAATCAAAAGCTTCACAGATAAGCAAAAGCTAAAAGATTTCACCAAACCACCAAACCAGCTTTACAGTAAATGTTAAAGGACATTCTCTAGTCATCAAACCGTAAGAAAAGAAAACAAAAAGAAGAAAGAGAAAAAAAAGAGAGAGACTTACAAAAGATTGTTTTGGCTGTTTGGGGTCTTTTGTGGTTCCTTATAAATTCTGGAATTGTTTGTTCCAGTACTGTGAGGAATCTTGAGTATTTTGATGGGAGTTGGGTTGGATCTGTAGATTGCTTTGGGTAGTGTGGCCATTCTTCCAATCCAAGAGCACACGAAATCTTTCCATTTCTTAGTGTCATTTCGGTTTTCAGAGTATAGGTGACCTCCCTGGTTAAGTTTATTTCCAGGTGTTCTATTGTTTTTGATGTAATGGAAATGTCTCTGCCAGTTATAAAATTCTGGTTTTTGAAGTAAAAAAAAAGTGAATGAAGGGCCACAAATGGCGAAATATCCTTCTTTTTTATGGGAGAGCTGTATTACATTATATATATAAAATGTGTATATATATATATATATATATATATACGCTGCATCTTCATTATCTATTCAACTATTGACGTGCACTTAGGATGCTTCCATATCTTGGCAATTATAAATAATTCTGCTGTTAATAGCAGGGTGTATGTATCTTTTTGAATTAATTCTTATTTTGTGGTTGGCTTTATTCCTTTGATAACTATGTAAGTTTAAAAAGCTAAAGCTCTAAACGTTCTTAGAAACAATGAACAGTACATATATGTAAATTAAAAAATATATGTGCAGTAAAAAAAAAATCTATCAAGCCATGAAAGACATAGAAGAAACTTAAAAAAACATATTACTAAATGAAAGAAGCCAGTCTGAAAAGGCTACAAACTACGATTCCAACCAAATGACATTCTGGAAAAGGCACAGCTACAGAAACAATAAAAAGATCGTGGTTTCCAGAGGTCTGGGGAGAAGGAGGGAGGAATGAATAGATGGAGCACAAGGGATTTTTAGGGCAGTGAAATTATTCTGTATGATACTATAGTGGTGGCTACATGTCATTATGCATTTGTCAAAACCCATGGAATGTACAACATCAAAAGTGAACCCTAAAGTAAACTATGGACTTTGCTTGATAATAATGTGCCCATGTTGGTTCATCGATTGTACCAAATATGCCACACTGATGAGGGGTGTTGAGGGTAGGGGAGTATATATGTGTGGGTGGGGAGGGCTATGTGGGAACTCAGTATTTTCTGCTCAATTCTGCTGTAAACCTGAAACTGCTCTAAAACAATTAAGTCTATCAAAAAGAAAAAAAAAATTTTTATGCCTACTTTGTGCTAGGCACTATCAACACAGTCGTTATTAACATAACAGACAGCCCCTGCCCTCAGGGAGCTTATAAAGGAAGCAATAGATACCCCATCAAATTCTTCAGTAAAAGCTGAGGTAAGGTAAGAAGGAAAAGTGCAGGGTTGTTCAAAGACCACAGGAATTTTAGAAGAACCTGATATAGCCTGAAGGGTCTGCAAGAGTTTCCACAGGAAGAAGGGTTCCAAGCTGGGGCTAAAGTTTTCTGTTGTAAATGCTGGGAAACCAGGTTGTAGAGAATCCTGGATAAAATATTCTTAGCAGAGGGAGCAGCATGGACAAAGCCCCTCAGAAGGGAAGGAACATGACCAATTTGAAGAAATGTAAACAGCTGGCGCACAGAGGCCTGGAGCTGAGGCCCAGGGGTAGTGGAACGAGTGAGGCAGTGGCCAGACCACGAAAGCAGCAGCAGACTTGTCCCAGCTGGGAAGGCCGATTTTCAATAGCCATGAGCCAGGACCATCACATGGCAGTCAAGGCCTAAGGAACTAACAACCGAGTAACAACACAATAAACCATAAATCAGAAAAATGGATGTAAATAAACTTACCCTGAATAAGGAATGCACTCTCAAGCTGGTCTAGAGCTTTAAAGCATACAATCTTATGCCATGTACTTCAAACAATAAAATCAGCTAAATACATTAAACAGTAGTTGTCTAAACTACATGCATGTCCACAGAAAGCAAAACACATAAAATATTCCTTGACTTTAATATGCAATATGACAAGACTAAGTCAACTAAAAGTGTTTGTCAGAAATTTCATATCCGTATTTTATTTAATGCAAGAAACATAAATGTTACTTAAAGTCCTGCTCTGAAGAAAAAACTACTCCCATAATTCTTCAATGACTGTAACTAGGCAAATTTTCTTTATTCCAACTTAGATTTTCTTATAGAGATAATTTTCCACATAAATAAGAATTAAAATCAGTGTTTTAACATGTTTTTTAAAATCAAAAGTTGAAAGACATCCCGTATTCCTTTTGCAGCATTTTTATTTATCCTTGTAGATATGCAATTATCATAATTTACAGGACACTTTTTAGTAATTAATTGGACTATAAGAAAAACTGTACAGAAAGTTTGTACCACAAAATCACGCCCTCAAGGGGTCCAGGTCCTCAGTAACAGAGAGAAAAAGAAGGGTCACTGTCGGCAACCTCTCCTAAGTGGAGAGGTCAGAACTCCATCTGCCATTTGTGCAACTGAGACTTCATAAAAATATCTTTCAAGTATTCCCTATTACAACAGGGAGTGATTATTAAAATGCCATTGTTTATTCTATATAAAACGTTCCTTCTACCCACTCAAAAGCCTTTTTTTTCCCTTTAAGATAAATAAAAGGCATAGCCCTAAAGTACACTTTGTGAAAATTATCTCAATACAAGATCCAAAGATTTCCATCATTTACTGTCCTTACTCAAAATCACCTGCATGTTACCAGGTGCAATTGTCTAAACTTCATCATTGATTAGCCTATTCCAAAGCAGAATTCTTCAGCAATACAAGAGACACAGGCTAAAATTGGCCTCACAATTCTACTTTAAAATAGGTATATTCAAAATATAAATACAGTAAATCTTCAGACCATTATTCTTCCTAACATGTAAACTCTAAATTTAAAAAAAAATGGAGGTTTTCAAACCAATGATGTGTGCAGCCCATTCTCATGTCACAGTCATTTAAACTTCTCATCTGCAAAACACAATACAATAAATTATCCAAAAAGGGAGGGGAAAAAACACAAAACCCCACCATTACAGAATGGAAACCATAACCACTATAAAACATGCAGTGCCAAATACTAAGTAACACATTTTGCTGGATAATCTTTTCACTCCTCTTCATTATAAAAGTAATACAGGATCGATGCAGAAAACTTGGAAAACACTGAAAAGCCAAGAAAAAAATAAACTCTTCTAACTCTGCCATTCAAATGGATTTGTTAGTATTTGGAGATTTCTCTTTCAGTATTTTTTCTATTATACAAAGGTAATGGATTTAAGAAACATACATGTCTGCATACATTTTCTTGAATAAAATTAGGATATTATATTTGCATTTTTATCTTTTGTTTACTTAACATACACAGCAGGTTGAATATCTCTGACTTTAATAATCCTTCTAAAACATGATTTTAACAAGTGATAGGGACATGTCATAATATGTTTCAGCATTTCCCTAGTGGGGACATATATGTTGTTTCAATTTTTTTGATACAATAAACAAGACACTCATAAAGATATCTAAAACTTGCAACACATCAGATTATTTTCTAAAGATGTATTTCTAGGAGAATTACTATGTTAAAGGGAATTTGAGATGGCCAAGAATCAGCCCCCTGAAAACACAGCCTTGTTCTACCTGATTTTAATCTATTCAAAATTCACAAAACTTAGTCATATGGTATATATTTACAAATAAATTTTTTAAATCATAAAAAATTCAACGTCTAAAAAGTTAGAAATAACAAGAAATAGAATCACTACTATGTTTTAGCACACAGTCACGGAAAAATTAATTTAACTTAAACCTCACACTTACATAAATGAGTCAGATTACACAGAATAGCATGTTAGTACCAGGAGAAGATAAGATTATCTCAACTAGTTAAGAAAAAGAAAATATGAGAAAGAATGGAAGGGTGAACCCAGCACAGGAAGTCAGGACAAAGATCTCTCCTCCAATAAAATACAAATAGTTCAGGTCTCTCTCTCTTTTCTCTCTGAAGACAATTTAAAGCCTAATTTGTTCTTTACCCCCTTCATTTTAACCTTTGATATCCCTTTTAACATCTTCTAACACAAACAAGAATTTTGTTATAATAGTTCTAGAGGTAATCATTAGCTCTCAAAACTCAAGAAGAAGACTAATTTCTTCAAAGTCTAAACCCAGTCTCTTGAAATAAAATGCTAATGTTCTAAGATTTTCAAAATAAAGACAACTTTTCTCTCCTTTAATACTTACTCTGCATGAGAAAGTTTTATTTCTTCCCTTTGTTTTGCAGAATAATTTAGGTTCCCACCTAAAATACAAATAAGCACAGGATCTTTTCAATATAACTATCAAGAGTAAAATTCAAGCATGAGCACATACACACACGCCTTTAAGTAACATAAAAGGCTATGGAAGGTGAGAAATAGTTCATCTCCTAGAAACTTCCCAAGGGGGAAGAACTGTTTTTTAAGAATCCTTATATGATACAAATAATCACTCCTCAATTTTAGCTTTTTAAAAGAAAATATGGACCAAAGTATTGCTTGAGGTTTCGTTCATTGGGACCCTGCATCAGTATTCAATAGTAGTGAAAATTAGGAGACATTAAAGGAAATGACCTAAAATTATTTAAACAGCATCATTCTTTCAAGTGCACGACAATCCTTAGGAGGGAGACAGTTTAGAAAAATTAATAACGGTGATATCAAAATCTTATAAAGAGCAAAAAAAAAAAAGAAACACAAATGTATATAGTAGATATTAGCAAATGAAAAGATCTGCAACTTCTCATTCTATATCAAACACTTTAAACCTTAAAATGCAAATTACAGCTACGAATGTATTTACTTCTCACTTTTTTAAACTATAAGACAGTAACACAAGAAGGGCTTTAGGTTACTTTTTTAAAAGCCATACTTCTTTATGCTAGTATAAAAAGAGCATCTAAAACTTTATATTACAAAACTTAAACTGAACTGTCCAGGAAGAATATGACAACAATTTTAATAAATATGAACATAATGATGTTTCACAATGGAATGTGTTTCCATCACTATGAACAGAATGTTATTACATGAACTAAAGCACTGGCCTCACCAGAGGCCTGGGGACAGTCCAGGGACCCCACAAGATGTTAACCCCACTGTGGTTTAAGAAAGAAAATATCTGAACTTCTACTTACCTTGGGAACGATTCACCAAGTAGAGTAAGACCACAGATAAGAGTGACACTGGAAGTGAAAAAACATACGGCCCTAAAAACATGTACTTCTTCCCAATGATTCCTATGTCATCATAATTACAAAGAAAAGCTTAGAAAATCAAATCTTTACTAATTAGCATTTAAAAATAAAAACACTGTTCACATCATTTTCCAAAAAGTACTAAAAATAAGTTACACACCATTTTCTCCATGAGAAATATATTTTTAAAACCTGAGCCCAGGGATGGCAGGGACAGAAAAAGAGAAACTGAGACACCTGACCCTAGAAGAAGAGGCCAAGCCACCTCCTTCCTCTCTCTCTGGAACTGCTGGTCGTTCCCAGCACTTCTTCACAACTCCTGCCAGCCATTAGGCTGTTTAATTTCTACAGAGAGCCAAGTAGAAGTACTCCTTTGGGGGTTTTAAATCTGAAAACACCATGTTCATTTTATAAACTAATCAAACGTTAAAACGTGGTCATTAAGCTCCCAGAAACCCAGAACAAGTGAAGGTCTCAGAAAGTCAGGTACATGGCTTTTTACTGTAACAAGTGTGGCACAATGAATTTATTTTAAATTGATACATCAACAGAAATATTTTTAAATAGCATGGTGTTTCGTTTGAGAGCCAAATTTATATGGAACCACTGACTGAAATTAAACCACATGTTGCAGCATCAAAAATAGTTTTCAAAAACACTTTCATGACTTAGAATTCTGAACTCTTACATGGCCCACTACTTAAAAAGAAATAATATATTTTTAAAATCTGATGTGCTCATTTCTAAAACTGAGATTATAAAATGTATTCAGGCTATACATAAGCAATTATCTGCAAATACCACACTTGCCAAGTATAGTCTTTATTCCTATACATGAAAATGAAATCTGATAAAATTATCACTGAGATTGCTACTTTAAACAGAATTTATCAAAGGATAAAAGACATCTTGATATGTTTTGTGAAAATTTTTTTCAGATGAACACAACTGATGTGTAAGGTAAATACTATCAGTGGGAAAATGCTGACTTATTGTTGTAGATTTCAGCAGTTTCCTAATGCTTCCTATTTTTCACCAATGAATCATTACAGGTAAAAATTAAGCAACAGGACTAAGAACAAAAGGAGTTCAAAATTGCCTAATGAATAAACCACGAGCACTCACACCTAAACCATGTCAATGTCCACATAGTCACACCAGGGACATACTCAGGACCCTTCAAATGGCTCCACTTTAAGGGGAAAGTGTTTTTAAAAACCATAAATATTTTAAACAGAATATAAAGCAGATTCCATTGCTGTCTTTAAGGTTTGGAATCTCCTTGAAAAATACCTGTGAATCTTCAGAGAACTAAAAAGTCACTAGCTGGGAAACTGATGCACAGGCAAAAGAACAGGCAAATCTGAGTGATACAGCTTAGGGATTTGGTTTACAAAGTGGAAAAGAGAACTGTAACAACCAAAACCTCAAAGTATAAATGAGAACATTCCGCTACGTATTAAAAGAAACTGAATGTTGCCAGGTGGCGCACTTACAAGAAACACAGGCAATGAAGAAAACTTCCAAAAACAAATATCCCCGAGTATCCAGTATCATGCCAGCAATGATGGAAATGACTGCCAACCCAAGATTCTGAATGGACTGCATGCTACAATTTAAGAAATTAAAAGAAAAAACATACGTCAAATCTAAAGTCTTCACACACTGAGGAGCAATTTACTATAAACACTAGTATCTACAAACCACATACTATTAGTGTTAAGAGATGTTTTCGATCAGGAATGATGTGATTAGATTCACTTTCTTACCACATGATTGTTATCGCTCTAAACTTTATGCTCAGAAGTAAGGGAGTTAAGTGCAGTATGATCTCAACACCTTCCTGCTGAATGAAAGGGTTAAGTGAATACCAACCACAAACGTGGTTTCCAGTTTGGCCTTTTATGCCAGACTGTCACTCAACTTCTCACTGAGAAGCCCTGAGACAGATGGGCCATGGGATGGTCCTGTCAGCAATTACCTCTTATGGGTTAGTTTATCTCCAGCACTCTTGCTGGAGGCTCAGAGCATTTTTTTTGCCACAATAATAACATAAATAGGTTAATTGACTTTTCTAGTTATTTCCAGGTTCAGAGCTGTCCCAGAAGCCTGAAGATAATTAAGTTATTACAGCAGAGAGACATTATACGATCCACGGTGCAAACACTTACAAGCCATATGCAGTTCCCAGTTGATGTTCAGGAACTACAAATGCCACCATTGGCCACAGTGCACAGGCAAGCAACGAATAGGACAGTCCCAGGAGACACTATAGAAAGCAATATGGAAAAGGGTAAAAAAGCCTTATATTAACCAAAAGCTGATTTTCCTTTGATGCAGGTTAGCAAGAATGACATAACTAATATATGAATATTCATGTAAACTGTACTGCAAAATAATTAGACTAAAAATTCATATTCAATACAGAAAAGTCCTGGCCCTCTCTAACAGTGTCCCTTTAGTGACAAAATACACAACACTGTCTTAACCATTTTAAATTATATGTACATATAATTGGCTGGGCCTAGGGTGCACTCAAAGACCAAGCAAGAAAATAAAGCTAATTTGCAAAAAGTTACTACCAACATCTCAGGCGAGCTAATTTTCCAGTATTTATTAGGAATTAAAACAATTTAAGCAATCAAGATAATATCACGCCAGTAGTCCATTACCTGACCTCTGGGTCATCACCACCCAGATGGAGAGCTGAGTTCTCAGAGAACCAGCAACAACCACTGACTGCTTAACATCACTTAATGCTAACTTTTTCTTCAATTAAGGAAGATATCTTATCATTTAAGTTAAAGTAAGATCATTCACCCCTATCAGATTGGCAATGATTAACATAATGCCGATGTCCAACAATGGCAAGAATACTTTAAAACAACACATACACATATTCATATATTATTGGTAAAGCTATAAATGAGTAGAAAGTTATTGGAGGAGAGGTTTCACAGTATCCATTAAGACGCGAACTGTGCAAAGCCTCTGCTATAGCCTTGCTACTTCTAGGAATCCGTCCCACAGAATTCTCACCAAGTGAGAATATCTATGTCCAAGCCCCTTTATTAAAAGGTAAGAAATGCAGCACTTCAGCCTGTGGTCTTAAGAATGACATTCTGAAGAACAATAACAAAAACTTGATGAACTCATTATTACTTTCTGACCTACTAAGAGTCAAAGACAAAAGAATGCAAAATCAGATATTGGGCTGATAGATTTTTTTTTGCCACCTATGATAGAATGACTTCTTTTAATGAAGTACAGAAAAATATAAGGAACTAACAAGCATTCTGGCTTTTATACGACAATTTTATTTCAAATTCTATAACAACATTGAGAGTAGTTAAATAAGCCAAATGAAATCAAAAATACTTTATGCATTAATGATTCATATTTATATACTCTAAGAATAGTTATTCCATAAAAACTGAAATCAAGTCAATGTTTTCCCCACTGTCACAAGCACTGCTATCAGAAGAGCTGAGCGCGGCTCCTGACAGGTGCTATACAGAGTCCTCCCTGAAGCCCTGAGCCCCCAGGAGTCAGCAGTGACGTTACCATAGCAATCCAAGGGTTCCACAGCGTAAAGGCCAGCATCATGTGGGAAGCAAGGGTGGTCACCACTGCACACAGAACCCAGATGATGTTCTTTCCTGTTTTATCCACCAGGAGCCCAAATACTGGGGACATGGGAGCTGATATTACATACACAATACTGCCCAGAAAATATAAAAGATATTTAATAAAATATATCACAGCAACAAAAAATCCAAAAAGTCCCTAAAACCATTAGGTAAAGCAAACCCCAGCTCATTTCATTTAATATTCTTCTAAAATGGTCATCAGTAAGCAGAAATACAGAGATATAAACAGTGGTCCAAAACTTATTTGGTTTTCCATTAATGCAAAGATTGCCATTCAGAATCAAGACCCAAGACAGACTTGGTTTCACACTGAGGATGCTAGCTCACACACGTCCTTTCTGTCTCGTATAACACTGGGTTATAAACAAAAATCCACACAAGCACACAATATGCAATTAGAGAATTAACGAAGTACCTGTTAATAGCACTCGCCGCCTGGGAGGAAAATCCAAATTTCTCTGTGAAGAAAACTCTAAAATAAAAAGGCGGGGGGCGGGGACACGAACACGTTACAGAGCACTACCCTGTTTTTAAAAAGTAAAGTCAAAATAAAACTGAGTAAAAATAACTCTAGGTTTAAGTCAACTTTCCCTTTCTTATACTGTTTCCCCATCTTACTTGATAGTCATCCTCAGGCCACAGGCTAAAGCTTTAGTATTTATATGAATACTTCACTAACTAAATAAAATATACTGATGTCTACTTTCTTCCTCTTTTACATGTACGGCAAAGAATGACACACAAAATTTTCAGAAAACCACATGTAGTATGACAAGCAATTAAGACGGCTTATTTTACTTAAAAGCAATACTAGATAGGTTCTTCACTAAATAACATACAGGGTTCTTGTCTCAAACTAAAAAATAACAGCCTGAACTGAAAGGTTATAATTACAAAGACACAGCCCCAAAAACACACTGATACACTGCTCTGTTTAAGTAGTTGCCAATGGAAAAGGAGAGAGAGGGAGAAGATAAAGCAAAGAAGAATCTGGTGTGGACCCTGAAGCTGAGCCTGGCAGAAGAGCAGGTGTACAAACAGAAACAGGCTCGGTCACTATGAGCCAATGCACTGTTTCCATTCTCAGTAAGAGGCTTCCTAACAAACAAAAATAAAGAGGAAATAAAAAAGAATACGAATCCAGAACTAAGTGTTAAAATGAATCAAAAACTGCTTTTAAAGAATTTCTTCAAAAAAACTAATAATAAGTATTAAACCAGTACTAAACCTTATGCTAAGAAAACCAGTGGTATCCCAGGATGTAAAACAATTCCTATGAAAATATAAACTACAACCAGGGATGCAAGATTGAAGCTTAAAAACACTACATTTACGTGATTGAATTCTCATGATCATTTAGCCAACAAAAATGGAACGCTAGAGAACACTCACTTCCCGAGTCCAATGAAAGGGAATACAGCAACATAATAGCAGACACAGATGATGAAGATGAGCCACAGGGGCAAGGAGAAGTCCTTCACATCAGTTAACTTAATAACTTCACCTTAGAGAAGAAAGGGAGGAGCCGTCAGCGTAGTTCTGTGTATTTAAGTCAAGACTAATTTTCTTTTACCATGTGATTAACCTTCGCAATTCAGTTAAAAAAAAAAAACTTTTCTCAGTAAATCACTAAAATGTAGTTTCTGAGGTCACTTAAAAAGACAACAGAAAAAACAAAATCTAAGATTAGTATCTACCTTTTTGCTCTCTTCCAGGAACATTCATCATTTTGCAAATATACAATCAAGAACGTAAGCTCTGCCAAACCACTTAAGGGGGAAAAAGAATGAATCCAAAAATTTAGACAAGTGGAAATAGATTTGGAAATAAAAGTGTAAAAAAAAAAAGTGTATTCAGTCTCACTGGGTTTACAACACTACATCAGGAACTTACCTCATTGTAAAACTATCTCAAAAATGCCGTATTTCCCAAAAGCGTCACTTTTCTTGCATGTAGACTAACCTGTTTTTCCTTGTTCTTTATGAAGGATTCTTTCTGCTCTCTGATCCAAGTAAGCAAGGGCCAAGGCACAGACTAGTGAAAGAATACATGTTATACCTCCTATAATAAAAAAAGAGAGAGAGAGATTCTTAAAAGACAACCAAACTGAAGGATCCTAAAAGGCAGCACATTATGTTAACAGCAGAAAACCCAGCAACTGAAAGGGATGGCACCTAAACACACACGTGAAAAGCCTGCAATCACTGCATCAAGACAGAAGGAAAGGACGCACACACGGGAGGCACTCAAACAGCGGTGGCTATACCATATTATCTCCCAGCTGGAGGATGCAGACCAGGGGGAAAGACTAAAATTAAAGCTAGTCTAGCCTTGTCATCAGAATATAGACTGAAGAAAGCTGATGACCAGCTAGCAATTTAGTCCTAATTTCTTAATCCAGTTTAAGCACCAATCATTGATGGATGCCAGGGGAACAAAACTATAAAAGCAAAGTCTTGATTCTGTGATCACCTCATCTTCCTTGTTTTTTTCTTCTTTCAAATTGTTTGTTTTTTAATTGAAGTATAGTCAATTTACAAGGCTGTATTAATTTCTGGTGTATTCATCTTTCCTTTGGATTCCTTCCTGAAGTCTAACCCTTGCTTCTACCCTGTGGAGGCCAAAGGACCCAGCCTCCCACAGCACAGCTCACTCAGGTCTGCTTTCCTTCGAGTATTCAGCA